CTATCTACACTTTATAACAGGAGGTACTAGCTGTTGTTGTTGTAGATAATATACTAACATTTAATAACATCCAAGAAGGTTACAGTTAGTTACACAGTGACGTACATCACATAAGTCCGTGAAATTTCGTAGGCCTACCGTAGGTAAACATAGAAAGAGCAATAATAGTAAAACTCGAGCGTCACGACATTGCGAAGTGTCTGCTCTTGTTCCTCGTATCGTACTCACTCGAGTCAATTCGAGATGGCCCGAGTGAAGTTTCATGCAAATGTTTCGTACGGGAAAAAAAAAATCGCGAACGGGGCTAACATATAAATGGGCATATAAGTGATATATAATGGGCATATAAGTGATATTGATCGTAATTGCACTTGGTTCTCACTTAAAGTTCTTGAAGATCCCATTTCATTATGATTGTGCAGCATATGAAGATATTAGACTTAAAGAATAAAACATATTATAAAGATACTTTAAATTTAAATCTCAATGGTTTTAAAAAATTCATTGGATCATTTCCATAGAAGCGACAATATCACAAAATTCATGTTTACCATCGGTAACACATCTTTTACATACGAAGATGTCTCATTTATGGCTTCTTTGACAACTTTTGTAAACAGTTGATTTGTAAAGCATTAAAAGAAAAATCTTCCTTTAAACATTTTGAAAGTATGGATTGCCTTCCACATTGCTAATTTTGCAGTCTCAATTAAATAATTTATTGCAATGTGATACTCTTTTGTAAAACTTAAGAAATGTAAAATATGTAACTTTAGTAATTTTGTGTTAATATTTACCATTTATGTATTTCATTTAATAATTTATCTTATTATATTTTTTATTTCTTTATCATTTTAGTAGATCTAGCTGTTAAGTTAATTTTTTGCAAATGTTCTTAATTTAACTCGTTAACCTAAACTATCATTATTATAAAACCCTTATTTACAAAGTTTACATTTACAATAGTACCATGTCAACACACTCCTGAAACCGTTACAAAAATATTCATATTTCAGAATGTGATGGTTTTCAATGTTTGTCCGATTCAGAGTGCATTTCCGAAAGCTGGAAGTGCGATATCATAGTAGACTGTGAGGACGGCTCGGATGAAACTGACTGTTCATGTACGTATACAAAGTAAATATATATATATATATATATATATATATATATATATATAATGTAATCCACGTGTGTTCCTTAGATACATAACTCAATGAAAACAAACCTGCTATAATAACACTGTACTAACAATAAATATTGACGAGCCGATGACACTTTGCATAGGTTCAACCTATTATGATGCGGCTTTCTTATATTCTATTGCTTCACCTCATAATCGCCGCTTGCCTTTGTTCATTTACTGTATATAATGCATTTTTATTGTATAGGCTCACAGATTGTATACTATGTCACCGCTTTCTATTGTTTTTATAATATTTATATATTATGATGCCAGTGTCTACCGTCACTACACGTTGAGAAAGGTCGCAGGTGCGACCGCAATATTCGTGATCAATAAAAGTTATATGTTTCGTTATACGTCAGCTTGGTATTTCCTTTGGTTACTTATGCTGTTCAACTATTATATAATCC